ACCGCTTGTTGGGTGATATCTGTGGAAATCCCAGTGAGAGACCGAGGCGACCGCTTGTTGGGTGATATCTGTGGAAATCCCGGTGAGTGAATAACTCAGTTGAGCTCACTTAGCTTGCGGCTAATGTATAGATAAGTTAAATATTAAACTGCCAGATACTGAGATATGTCTCTAAATAAACCAATAGGGAGTTTGTTGGACTTTGTCCTAATGTTTTAATTGCTTTGGTGTGTTTTACATCATTGTACTGACAAAAATAAGAATAAAAATGCTAACCGAGCTAATGCTAGCACTAACCACAGGTGCTAATGCTAAAGGCCTGTATCAATTTACAAGAGTAGAATTAGCTCTACAATGACAAAGAATGTGCTTTTTGTATTCTAAATCATATCGGTTCATTAAAAATACATACAGTTCATAGGAAGCCATGTTAAAGCAACTATAAGTTGTTTTTGGTTAAAATAATAAATGTTGAAGTGTTAAAAATTCATTAATCAACATTTTAAGTCAAAGTCAGAGATTCTTTAATGTCGTTCCACCTCATGTGGTACATGTGGTGGAGCGAAATTATGTCCACAGGGTCCCAGTTACATCCAACAATAAAATGTAAAAGAAAAACAGTAATAACATCTAAGATATGAACTAAGAAAAACATCAACTAAATATACACTAAGCACTAATAGCATAAAAACATTACGTCAAACATCAGCACAAACATGAGTCTGTGTGAGCAGATGAGCACGCATGAACACATCAACATGAAACAGATCAGCAGCAACATGATGTGATTTGTCACAGTGATTATTCTGGTAAGAGATTCATGAGTCTTAGGTTGTTTTCACACGAGATAGTCCGGTAGACTCGGTTCGGTTAGGGACCAATATTCATGAGCTTTTGTTACATTTGAGCTGGTGTGTTTGCATTCACACTGCACTGTGCAGTCGAGTCAACCTGTTGAACCAACCTGTTCCCCCGCTCGCCTGTGGGGGCGCTGCACCAAGAACTACTGAAAGAAATGACACAAAAACCTCTGAAGACATGTCTTCTTCTTCTTCTGTAAATAAAAACAAAAACTGAGTGGAATCAAGTTTTATCATTTTAGGAGTTATATTTTGTCATTTGTCAAAAATGGACTTAGCATTAGCAGAAGATGAGACAGAAGACCATGGAGAATATTGTTTTTCACACAAGGCAGCTGACGGCTCCATATGAGCCAAGAAAAACGCGTGTTTGTTTGTCCTGCGCTGTACTCCACTTCTTGCTTGTGGAGCGGGGCTCGGTCTGTTTACATTCACACTGTATTCGAACCGCGCTGGAGTTCTCTTCTACCGGACCGAGACCTAGGTTTTAGCCCGGGCCAGAGTTCGCCTTTTTGTTCTGTGACAGAGTTTGATGGAGCGTTCACACCTCCCCAAACGAACCGGACTTTCTAGGAAAACGAGCAAGAGTTCAATTAAAGCGGACTAAACAGGGCTGGTGTGAATGCACCCTAACAGCCTCAGGGTAGAAGCTGTTCCTCAGTCTAGTGGTTCTACACTTAATGCTCCTCAACCTCCTTCCTGAGGGGAGCGGGGCAAAAAGTGTGTGTGCTGGGTGAGTGAGGTCCTTCATGATGCAGGTGGCCCTCTTCCTGCATCTGGAGGTATAGATGTCTGTGATGGTGGGGAGGCTGACTCCAACATCTTCTGTGCAGCCTTCACCACTCTCTGCAAAGCTTTTCTTTCTGCAGCTGTGCAGCCTCCATGCCACACGTTGATGCTGGAGCACAGGATGCTCTCCACTGCACACCTGTAGAAGGAGGTGAGGACTGAGCTTCCCCAGACCAGCTCGTCTCAGCCGTCTGAGGAAGTAGAGTCTCTGATGAGCTTTCTTCATCAGGCTGGTGGTGTTGCTCCAGCTGAGGTTGTTGTTCAGGTGCACACCCAAGTACTTGTAGCTGGAGACCACTTCCACCGCAGATCCTCTTATGTTCAGGGGGTGTAGGTGTGTTTGTTCCTTCTGAAGTTCAAAATAATCTCATCTTATTCACATTGATGTGAAGATTATTCTCTTTGCACCAGCCCTCCAGGTGTTCCACCTCTTGCCTGTAGCTGGACTCATCATTGTTTGTGATGCATTTGTATGGCATCCTCTGTTGATCAGTTCTCACGGTATGCATACTGATGAGGGTCCTCGTTGATGTTGATGGTTGTTTTGATGTGGGTCATGACCAGTTTTTCTAAGCATTTAGCGACTATCGGGGTGAGGGCCACTGGCCGATAGTCAATCAGACCAGTCACTGTAGAGCTTTTTGGGACTGGGATGATGGTGGCAGTCTTTAGGCAGGTGGGAACTGTCTCCAGGGTAAGTGAGGTGTTAAAGGTGTCTGCTAGCACCTCGCAGAGCTGATCGGCACATTCTTTCAACACTTTTCCGGGGATGTTGTCTGGGCCGGTTGCCTTGTGTGGATTAATCCTCCTGAAAGTACTCCATACTTCTACTGAGGTCACGCTGAGATGCTCTTCATCCCGTGGTGAGGTCAGAAAATTTTGAATAAAGTAGATGCCATTTCTTGCATTCTGGTGTATTTTAACAGACTGTTTAACATTTAGTTTTACCTACATAAGTAACACTTGATTCAATATCTATTATAGATTTAATGGCACAACAAGGAGTAGCCTGACCAACAGCTCTCCTTGTGTGAATAGAGCACGCTCCGCTTTTTTTTTTTCCATTCAACCTTTATTTAAACAGATAAATCACATTGAACCTCGAAGACTCATTTACAAGTGAGACCTGTTTGGACAGACAAAAACAGTGGTTAACTGGACACATGTAGGAATTGGAGGCGAAAAAAATTCCTATCAGACTTTTTTCTTGGCTGAGAAAAACCCCTAATATTGAAAAAACACCTCGCACAAACAAGCACATATTTACGTAAACATTCTGCAATCAGAAACGAGAGCAGTCAACAACGCTTATAGATGCTCTCGAGGTCACTATAATCAGTCAATGTCCTCTAATGAGATCCATAAACATTCTCGAGGGATGTCGAGAAATGGCCAAGGATAACCTCTATAAGAATCCAGAGTCCTGAAATGATGACCAAGTTTTTTCAGCTGGTTTCATCTGGTTATCAGTTGGAAATTCCTCAGGGAGGGGTGGTGAGCGTCAGATCACATTTTCTCCAGGCGACTTTAGATAAGATGACCTTCAAGGCCAGCCAAGGCGACCAAAATTTAAATAAACACACAGTTGTTTTGGGGACAGGCAGAACTTAATGACATCAACCTTCAGTCTGTGTCGGTCTACTCGGTTCCGAAATGTCCAAATTAACATGGCCACACCGATGGAAACGTGTCTGAGTAAAAATCCCCAAGATCTGATCCATTCAGCCCAAAGCATTTGAGTCCGGGTACTCCAGACATGAACCAAGCCATCATAAAGGCAAGCAGCATGATCGGGTCCAAATTTGCTGCTGACTACTTCCTTGATTGTAGATAAAACTAGCACCAGCTGAATCCAAAAAGCAGGAACCAGTTATCGAAAATCCAATTAAATATGCGTCCTTAAAATCCACAGATGGCAGCAGAGATAGACACATCATCAAGTTTTCCAGTCGATGAGATGTCCAGCTGCGTACGTGCCAACAGGGTAAATCGGCTCGCCCAAAGCCTGTCTTCTCTTCGAAGAAATGTTGTAAAGTGAGTTGAGGGACCAACTGGTCGAAACAAGTCCATAATTATGGTTCGGAAGAAATGCAAGAGAGTCTCAGCAATTTCACAGACAGACAGAGCAGCAAAGCAAAGCGGAGAGGGAGGGAGAG